CGTTGCAACAGCGATCGGACGCTATTGCAACTTTCCTCAGATGATATTGAAACATTGACCGGACACTATAGCAACATCCGACCTGCACATCCGGTTGGTTCAACAGGTGAGTCCGGTCAGTTCAAAAAGTGCCCAGTGAAGGGGTACAACGACTCTATTTTCTTGGGGCTATAAAACCAAGCATTGGTCGGCCTTGGGCTGGTTGCTGAGCACCCTTGAGCCTTGGTGGCTTGTGTAGGTTTGCTTGGGAGCCCTCCATCTCACATATGCTTGATAGTGTTCATCCGATTGTGTGTGAGCGATTCTAGTGAGATTGCTTCATGAGGTTGCATCGAGTGGTACTAGGTGATCGAGTTGTAAGCCGGTGGTGCTTGTTACTCTTGGAGGTTGCCACCTCCTAGACGACTTGGTGGTGGTCTCCGTCGAAGCATGCAAGAAGCTTGTGCGGTGCTTTGGAGAAAGATTTGTGAGGGGTACCATGCTCACCCCGCGGGAGCCACGAAGAGCAATACTAGTAGAGCGTGTCATTGAGCTACCCTCACTTGTGGGTAGGTTCTTGCGGTGCCCAACGTGTGGGCTTGGCGGGTGATGCCAATTAGTCGCCGAACCACCAAGTGAGCGGTCGACACAACGGGGACTAGCGTGTTGGCAAGCACGTGAACCTTAGGAGAAAAATCACCGTGTCATCCTTGTCTTCCCGTTGGTTTGCATCCCCGTTACACAAGCTTGTATTTACTTTCATATACATTATGCTTGTGTAGTTGCTCTTGTAATTAGTTAGCTTGTGTAGCTTGCTAGTTACCTTCTTGCTTGTGTAGCATAGAAGTTGCTCCCTTGCGTGGCTAATTTGGTTTTAGTAATCTTGTTAGTCACATTGCTTAGTTTGTGTAGCTAAGTAATTTGCGCTCTCTAATTCGGCATTAGTTGCCTTGTTATTGAGCATTGCTAGTGAGCTTAGGAGCTTTGTGCTTTTGCTTACTAGTTGTGTAGGAGCTCCCTCGTGCTTGAAGTACTAGTTTCATAGGTTTCTATGACCTTGCTCCTAGAATTGGTTAGGTGAGCTCTAGCTAGCCCACACCTTTGTTGCCTAATTAGGATATTTATAAGGTGATTGTGAACTTAGATAAAGTGGTGTAGTCTTGGCTAGACCGATAGTTTTAATTCCGCATTTGTCTCGTTAGCAGATGCGTTTAATTTTAGAAATGATTATTCACCCCCCTCTAGTCCGCCATCTCGACCCTACACAAGGAAGCGGAGGTGCCCCAACGATGCTCCCCGGCTTGAGCTCCATCTAGCTATGATGTCACAGTGTTTGTCGATGAGAAGAGGAAGACGATAGTGAGGGCGAGACGACTCACTGGGCGGATGTCTTTGAAGGGTTACAAGGAGTACGTGCGGGTGTTTGGAGAAGAATCATCCACCACGTGAGGGCTGAATTGTCCATATAAAAATACATTGTCATCTACCAAAACTGTATTGTCCTGAAACTGCAGTAACCCGAACTGACAAAATACATCTCAAATCATATGCTCTACTCAACCAATCTTCGAACCAACTAAACAAAACAAAGAAATCTAAGTGTAGAATGAGCTCACCAAGTTTGGTGCCAATCCAACCACAATTGAGCCTTTGATTTTTGGAACAAGTTAGCTGGGAAGCTCCCTACCTATTTTTTTCATATATGATGGTACAAAAAATACAATATGTACAGAGATTACAAGGCAGCTAGGTCCAAGAATAAAAAAGATGAAATGTCATGAAAGACTCCCTCCACAAATTTAAAAGATTGCTCCTACTTGGCTTGGCTTTAGTACACACTAAGCCAACTTCCTCCTTGAAATTGCGTTTCCAAACTGAGAGGTTGCAGGAGCCATTGTCAAAAATGATGCTATTTGTCATCTTCCAAATGATCTAGCAAGCTGTTATCAAAATATCTCTGAAGATGATACTGCCAAAGTTTGTCCTAACTTCAATAATCATATCTAATGGCTGAAGAGCCAAATCCCAATGAATATAAAGATAGCTCCAGCAGCTCTAACCGAAAGGGCACTCAAAGAATAGGTGGAAAGCACTTTCTTCTACCCCACTTGTTGCAAAGAACACAGGTGTAGTCATCCAATATTTTGTTCTTCCTTCTAAGAAGATTTCTTGTGTTAAGCCTATCTCTGAGAAGTAACCAAAAAATGAATTTATGTTTACCAAGGTTTCCTGATGACCAGAGCCATATGAAAAGGGGGAGGCCTCACATATACACCCTGTAGATGCTTATAGATTTTCCTAGTATTGTAGCCATTGCCCCCCAGATGTATGTCCAAGAATCTTTGTTTTCATCATCCAAGAGTCTAGCCTCCAAGAGAGCCTGCAACTCTGTCAATTGATCAGCAGCTTGACTGGAGAGTGGTAAATTGAACATTCTGTCCAGGTCTTGATGCTGTAATAGATAGTTAATGGAGCATTTTGGTTTTCTAGTAAAAGAAAGCAAATGGGGCAACGAGTTCTTCAGAATGGTTCCACTCCAGTTATCTCCCCATAACATCACAGAGTTACCTCTATTAGGATTGCATATGGTGAAAGATTGGAACTTTTCAAATAACTTAAGGACATCTTTCCACCAAAAGGATCCAACAGGGCTTCGAGCATGTGGAGGGGTCTGTCTATTGCTATATAATTTAGACCAAGTGAGTTTCACCCAGGGTAGATCAACATTATTGTAAAATTTGTCAAGATGCTTCATCAACAGAGTTGAGTTCTGAGCTTTCAGATCAATAATTCCAAGTCCTTTTGACCTGCAAGAAGATGTCCACTTTGCTAAACTGGTGCCTTTCCTATTTATGTCTCCTACACTCTAAAGGCGGTGCTTCCTATATTTGTCAACTTGCTTAATGACCTGAGGGGGAAGTTGAAGAGTGAATATATAAAAGGTGGGGAGGGCAGAGAGGACAGAATTGACTAGCATTAACCTTCCATGATAGGATAAAAATCTGTTAATTCCAGAAAGCCTTCCTTCAACTCTTGTTAACAGAGGTGAGAAGTCCTGCACTGAAGGTTTAGTGGTGCCAAGTGGTAACCCCAAGTATGTAAAAGGCATGTGACCCACATTGCAACCAAAAGTATTGGCAAGATGAGTAGTTCTCTCTGCTGTCATGTTAGATAACTTGGCTAGAGTGGTTGTGAAAGTCAATCTAAACGATGGAACTCCCGCATTCACTTTTACTTTGATCGCAAGTACGAAGATGACTAGTTTAGAGCCACCAAATTTGCATAGATTTCCTTCTCCTTTTTCTTCTTCTCTTTTCCCACACTGTGTTATGTTTGGCTCTCTCTCACTTCTCTCCAAGTGTAGCAACTAATGACACAAAAGGAGGCTATGGCTTTCTCTTCTCTCCTATCTTCTAAGGAGCAATCTCCACCATTGATTCCAATCGAAATCCACGGCTCAAAGGAGTTTGGCTTTGTGAGCTACAATGGGCTAATTTGCTGGGCTCCAAAGCATCCTCCATGTGGAGGAATATCCCAACAATCAATATGATTAGTCGTTATTCATAGAAGTAACTTTTATGGTGTTTTACCTAGTATTATATTCTTCACACATATGATGGTATTGGATATCCATCTATTTTCTCCAATATGGATCTATAATTGGATAGAGAGAAATGATGAAAAACATATTTAAGATGCATCCATTTAATTTAGTATACATACTACAAATGAATTCGAATATAGATATCCATACTATAAGTTTCAACGGATTTGGATTTGGATACTCAACTTTATATTTCCACCCCTATCTCTCGAATAAGGATTTTTTTGCGAGTCAAATAAGGATAACTGCAAAAGCAAAATACACCTTGTTTGAACTCTGTGCTCTTTCACTCTCATTCCGAATATTCCACCAAGTGTAGATGACTACCCAATTGAAGGAGCCATTTGATGGGCTCCATGGTCCTCGCTATAGGAGGTTGTCTTGAATTCAAATCAAGGAGACAAATTCTTCAAGTTGCATAGAGTTGGATATCTTGCCACGGTATATTTGATCTAATTGCTATCACTTAGCTCTTATTCTGCTTTTATATATTTTTTCCATTTGACATGACAAATTGACTTACACCCTGTTTTTCAGCACTACTTCAGCATTACTTTTCAGCGAAGGAACGATGTTTTTCTCTCACACCAAATCAACATAAGCAGCAGCAAAAGCTAAATTTTAGTTCTAAGACATTAAATTATGCTACAAAAGTAAAATAGTAGAATCGATAGATTTATCATCAAAATGTACTTTGAAAACATTATTTGTGGCAAAAATTTGTAATGAGAACATAATTTTTGAAAAAGTTTGAAGTGTACTTTTTTAAAATGAAAGTTTGAAGTGTTGAGTATCTTGAAACGGAGGTAGCAGCTACATCAATGAGCTGTGGCTTCTCTTGTTGCAAAATGCAAAAGCATATTACGGTGGAAACAAAGCTCACGAGGACGGGCCTGTTTGGATTAGTCCCTGGGATTGCCTGGCGGCTGGCGCAAGTGCGGCTCCCAGACGTCCGATTTCCAACGCATGGGGGCTAGGATGACTGCCTGGACCCGACCTTGCCTGTGAGTCATCAATCCAAACAGGCCCTACTACCACAGACCCAAACAGCACTCCCGGCCGGGGGCCCACCGCCACCCCTGGTGCTCCCACGGTAGCCGCCAAGAGGCGAAAAGGGCGCACAGGCACAGCTCTTGCGTTTTTGACCCGAGCAGCAGCCAACGCCCAACGGAGCGGCAGAAGGCATCCTCGCATTTTTATTTCGCGCAGCCCGTCCCTGCCCGCGGCTGGCTGCCCCTCGGCGATCTCAAGAGCCCCGGCCGCCTCTCTTCCTCAGCCCGCTCGCCCCCTCTTCGATACCCCCGATAAAACCCCACCCCAACCCGCTCCGTATCCAGCTGGCCATCCCCTCCTCGTCTCCTCCAAGGCAAGTAAGCCGCGCGCCCGCGCCCGAGACCGACTGAGGAAGTCCGACCCCATGGCGCTCTCCTGCATGAGGTGCCCCGCGGCCGCCGGCGCCGCCTCCGCCCGACGCGCCGCGGCGCAGCCGTTGGCCACGGCGGCCGCGGTCTCCTTCGCCAGATGCGGCGGCTTCGGGAGGTCCGCCGCCGCCGCCGCCGCCGCGTGTTGGCGCATCTATGCCATCGCCCCGCATGGAGGTGGGTCTCCTTTTTTGTATGCTCGCTTAGTTCGTTCTGCCCCTCGAATTCTGTTGGGTCAGGACTCAGGACTCAGGAATGGATGTTATATTGTAGCTCAGGCCAAATAAGTTCTGTACGAACTGATTGCATGTAGAGAGTAACCAGCTGATAAAGCCAACTGACACGGATGATATGCCAATGTTCTGTTTTCGTGTACGGAAGTTGTCTCGTGTTTACATTTGTCTTTTCAAATTTCAGATTCACAAGTATGGGAATGTCCTTTTATGATTGAGTTGGTGCTAATTCCTTTTCAACCTATGCACTGTCAAGCTCCACTGCCATCACTCTGATAGCATGCATGCTTTCTCTGTTTACAGTTACCACAACCCAGAGTAGAAATTTAGTTTATTTTAACAGCAACGACGAGGCCATATATTTGGGTTGGGCTACAGATGAAACCCAACAAGAGCCACAAACAAAGACGATAAACAATTCTAAAGCTCGTAGTAATAGTAACAAAATGTACCCTGTTTCATGGTTCGGGCACTTCGATTGCCATCTAAAATGTCTGGTGCATAGTGAATGTTTCATATGATCATGCATTATCATACACGCTTTTTCATCTGACCATTGTCTCTAATTATCAGTGAAAGCTCCCATGGACGCTGATGTGAAGCATGTTGTCACACCTCCTACCTCACCAAAGGTGGAAAATGGCTCTCCTTCAGAAATCACTCTGGATGATTTTGAAGACTTGAGCACTCTATGCAAGAACGGCGATTCTACTGTTAGCATCACAGTAGTTGGAGCATCTGGTGACCTTGCCAAGAAGAAGATATTTCCTGCCCTTTTTGCTCTCTACTATGAAGATTGCCTTCCCAAGGCATGTGTATATATATCTCCATCTTATGATAGCATATGCACCTATTTTTGTTAAATCTAAATTACAGTATTTTGTCCTCTAGCATTTCACCATCTTTGGCTACGCGCGGAGCAAGATGACAGATGCTGAACTGAGGAACATGGTTAGCAAAACGCTGACTTGCAGAATTGATAAAAGGTATTGGAGAAGATTTGCAGCTTTATTTTCCTTCAAAAAGATTTGCAGCCTTATGACTATTCTTTAGAAAATGAAGTTTTCTTTAAATGTGAATGCACTTTGCTCAGTGGTCCTCGTACTCTGTTGTCTCTTTCCAGGGAAAACTGCAGTGAGAAAATGGAAGAGTTCCTCAAAAGATGCTTCTATCATTCAGGCCAATATGATTCAGAAGAGCATTTCCTAGATCTAGACAAGAAGCTAAAGCAACATGAGGTTTGTGCATTTTTCTCTTCAAGTCAATTGCAAATCCACCATTGGTTTTATTTGCTAAGCTTATGCTCGTCCTTCTTCTAATCGTTTGCATGCATTTTCCATTGAATTACGTATCCTTTAATCCTTATTTGTTGATCATCCTTGACTCCTTGTTCATTTACATTTCATTTTCTGATGGCGTCTCATTCTCTCAAAATGGTATTGCCAAAAAATGTGGTTTCTTGTTTGTTTCCATCTTACTTAATTTGTAGCCTCTTTAATGTGCATATACATATACATTCTTTGAGGGAATGTCTGTACCAGTAAACTTATGGCACATCGAATTTACAGAGAATGATAGAATAATCCTTTCTGTTAAAGAAGCTAATACAATATACAATTTTTTATGTTCCAAAATCCATCCTTATCCAAAAAAAAAAAGTGTGCATTCCTTGAGGGAATGCCTGTACTGGTAAACTTATGTCACAGAGAATTTACAGAGCATAATTGAAAAACCCCGTCTCTTAAAAAAGTAACTGCAAAAAAAAAGATTATTTATTTGGAAAAATGTTTGGATTATATTAATTGTCAGGAAGCTTACATCCTACAAATACAAGAAGGTCCCTAATAGAGACAAAAATTACATTGAATAATACACCAGGGCCTCCATTACAACTTCATCTTCTCTGGACAATTTGGCCACACGATAGACTGGCTTGATGATGCTCGTCAGAGAAGATTACATAAGCCAGAAATGAAACCTCCTGCTTAATACAGCAAAGAAGCTTCAATACTTGGGTGACCACAAAGCCAGTGCCTTGAACCACCTCAGAAGTGCATATAGATCTCTGAAGGAACATCTGTAACCAATTTTGCTGGAGTAGGAGGAGAGCAAATCTGATGCCTCCAACTATGGATTCAACACAGCAAGAGGCCCAGAAGATGGATCCACAGGTACCCACATAAGGGGATGCTAAACATCCAACCCCACGGCAATATGGTTAGATAAGCGTACGTCTGCTGAAGAAGGCGCTGTCACCAGAGTAAACCAGGAGCAACAATGCCTGCATGAAACCATCACCATCGTCATGATTCCAGCAGAAATCATAGTACCTAGTGGCTATAGCCCTATTCTAGTGACCTATCTACCAAGCTGGCCATTGGGATGCCAACTCCCCCACCCTCCTGAAACTGCAGTCACCTGAGAGGCTGAGAGCCGCCCCTGTCTTGTGAAAGTGACGGTTTCTGTTTTTCCTTTATTCTTCGCATAATTTTTTATGTTTCAAAATCCATTCCCATTAAAAAGGATATATATAATTGTGATCTGACATTCTGACTAAATCCTTGTTCTGTTGCTGCAGGGTTCCAGAGTTTCTAACCGCCTTTTCTACTTGTCAATACCTCCAAATATATTCTTGGATGTTGTAAAATGTGCAAGCAAATCAGCATCTTCGGTGAATGGTTGGACAAGAGTAATTGTTGAGAAGCCCTTCGGCCGAGACTCAGAATCCTCTGCTGCGTTAACAAGAGGTCTGAAGCAGTACCTTGTAGAGGACCAAATTTTCAGGTGAAGCATCTCATGGATTTGTAACATATTTTCTGGTATAGACTTGGCATTTTGTTAACATCCCAATTCTCTGCAAAATATCAAAGCAACATGCCACAGGAAAAGAAAACAGGGAATTTGAAGACTGTTAATTGCTTGTGAAAAGCTTATAAAGTTTATGTTCCTTTTTATACAGGATTGACCATTACTTGGGAAAAGAACTGGTGGAGAATTTGTCTGTCCTTCGCTTCTCGAATCTCGTTTTTGAGCCGCTCTGGTCAAGACAATATATAAGAAATGTGCAACTTATATTCTCAGAAGACTTCGGTACTGAAGGACGTGGAGGGTATGATTTTGATGGTTATTTAATTGAACTGTGGTAGTTGCATATGATTGTGTCTTATTTTATTGTTTCAATTTGCAGATACTTTGATGGCTACGGCATTATTCGAGACATAATGCAGAATCATCTCCTTCAGATACTTGCCTTATTTGCAATGGAAACTCCTATTAGTTTGGAAGCAGAGGATATAAGAAATGAGAAGGTTTGCGCCATGCTCCCACAACAACCGTAGTCCGTAGGCATGGAACATCACATAGTTATTGTACTTAAGAAATGTAGTTCTGTACTTAAAATATCTGTTATGGCATGCAAATAGAGAGAACTAGCTAGGCAGGCAGGGACTCTTTATTTCTTTCATTCAAAATGACTTTTGACTATAATTCAAGCAGAATATACTGATCTTATTACTACGCTATTCACATGTGTTAACCATGCATTCATATGCTTATGTCATCATTCAAGGGTCGTGTTACATTAGTTCTTATTTTCTGCCAGGTTAAAGTTCTTCGATCCATGAAGCCGTTGCAGCTGGAAGATGTGGTCATAGGACAGTATAAAAGCCACACAAAAGGTGGTACTGCATATCCTGGGTATACTGATGATAAGACAGTGCCCAAGGATAGTGTGACTCCAACGTTTGCTGCTGCGGCACTATTCATAAATAATGCTAGATGGGATGGAGTTCCCTTTCTTATGAAAGCTGGGAAAGCTTTGCACACAAAACGGTATGTTTCATGTATTTACCTTAACATATGATGCCAGAATCTTCTATTTACTTGGTAAAGCAGGTTCTGTGTGCATATAAACACGTCCGACTTAATTCTGAGATGAAAACATTAAGCAAGATGGATCATATTTCCTAATATAATATTTTTATCTCCAACACAAAATTGCTTCATAAATCTCTTCTTCTTTTTTTCATTGAAGGGGGGGAAAAAAACTCTTATGTTGTGATATTTTGCATGCCAAATATTCTTACATGGAAAATGAACAAATTGCAGAGCTGAGATTAGGGTACAGTTCCGACATGTTCCTGGAAATCTCTACAAGGGGAGTTTTGGCACAGATCTTGATAGGGCCACTAATGAGCTTGTGATACGTGTGCAACCGGATGAAGCTATTTACCTAAAGATTAACAACAAGATTCCTGGTCTTGGTATGCGACTAGATAGGAGTAACTTGAATCTCCATTATGCAGCAAGGTAAGATTAATTTAGCAGCAATTGCATTTGTAAACCTGGATTACTATTTTATCGTATACCCAAAGTAATTCTCTATTCACAGCTGCACCACAGCGAATATGGCACAATTGTTACTCTAGTGTCAGTTCTTTTCCTCTGATTTATTTCAGTACCTCATTCACTCCAGTTTCCAGTCCAGTTCTCTCGTTCCTTTTTCCAGTCCAGTTCTCTCTCTCCTTTTTTTCAGTCTATTCCATGGTTGCTCCTTGCTTTTGTTGGAATGTATTTGGGTGATGCTTTCCATTTTTAGTATGCTTTTGTGGTTTATGAATAATAGCTGAGTTATGTGCATGCTATGTAACATCTATGGTGGTTTTCTGTCCCCCCCTCTCTCTCTCTCTCTCTGCGGTGGTTTTAATTTTTCTGTCTTTTTAAAAATTTTCAATTATGCTTGGCAATTCTATTAGAAACCATCTAGTACCTATTTGTGTAACATGTACAAGTTTCATCATATTAGGGATTGAAATTGGACCCTTTCTGAAAAAAAAAACTAGTAGGGCTTTCCTCTGGCTTTCAGGGTTTCTTGCGGTTTCACAAACCTTGCTGCAGACATGATATATTTGCTTATGAGACATCAATCCATGCTTGTATTCGTCACTCCTTGTGAGAAGTTCTTACTTTCTTGTCACAGTACCCTAAAGTTGCCTGTTAAATGTTGTATGCCATGTCTTAGGTACTCAAAGGAGATACCGGATGCTTATGAGAGACTGTTGCTTGATGCCATCGAAGGAGAGCGCAGGCTTTTCATCCGCTCGGATGAGTTGGATGCTGCATGGTCACTCTTCACACCCCTCCTGAAGGAGTTAGAAGAGAAGCGGATAGCTCCTGAGCTCTACCCTTATGGAAGCCGTGGACCTGTCGGCGCCCACTATCTTGCCGCGAAGTACAACGTAAGATGGGGTGACTTGAGTGCGGAGCACTACAAGGCATGAAACGAAGATGACTATATCTTTGTGATGTTCTTGCTTTTCCATTTCTTTAAGTTTGCACGCCCTGGTAGTGGGATAGATGCAAGAGAAAGAAAGACGAGAATAAGGCGGGCAATTAACTAGGTTGGAAGGCATGTATCCGTTGTTAGACTGAATAGCTCTGTTGGCATAATCATAGCTGTCAAAAATATCTGTTCCTCAGAAGGACGAACTGAAGATCTGCCAAGTTGATCTCATTTTATGAAGTGATCATTGATGGAGTTGGGCCGTCAAGCCTGTCATGCCGGCGCCATTTTTCTGTACCTGATGAGTGCAAGAAACGGTTGACATATATTTCTGCATGGCTGGTGCCATTGCCATTTGTTGGCTACTTCACATGTGTAACGTTTTAGGTTGGCAAGTCGGTGAGATTTGGCTTGAACTCGTAAAATTTGTACTATACTAAACCGTTTTGACAAGGATTTGCATTAATGTTAGAAACCAAAAGAACTTTTACCCACTTTCTTGTCTGATTTATATTTGAGAGGGACTTTTACCCACTTTCAATAACACACAAATAGCTAGGTTTTGGATCTACGTTACTAATAAATTTAACGCATAAAGGAAGTGAACCTAGGCTGCAGCCCGATACATGGTGCGCGCAAGAGGGTATGGACACGATTATTTAGCTAAGTTTTCAATATCATTATGAATTTATATGATGCCTCTGCTTCCTATGGATGTCCTCATCTAAGTGAATTTTAAAATTTCCTACTACATTTTGATGTTTTGCGTTATCCTCCTCTGTTATGACTGATTAGGGAGAATCATTCCTCGTTTTCACTTCACGCACACACCCACACATTAGTGCTATACTTTAGCAACTAACAAAATTTCTACCAGTAAAACCTGGCCAGAGCTCTAACGTGTTTAATTAATTTCATTCTTTACTAGCAAATGTACCAATGGGAAAGAAAAAAAATCCCCATGTTCAAATGCCAGCGGGTCAAGCCGAGCAGAGTAGCAGACCCATGCTGGCTGGATTCCAAGGTCTCCACCGTCTATAAGGCAGCCGCCGTCATTGCGATAATAGTTGTCGCCTCTGCTAGATTCCTCTGTCGCTGCTACCGAAGATATCCTCTTCCGCCCGGACTCCCAGGCATCCGCCGCCTACTAACCCTAGGGCCGCCGCTGTTGATGGGATCTGACTCCTCGCTATAAATGTCAATGCAGCCTTGAGGCACGATGGCCCGGCACAAAAGCATGCTATTTTGACCCGGCTCAAGACCTCACGCAGCGCGCGCCCGGTGGAGCCAGCCACGAGCATCCTGCGGCTCCCTTCTCCGCTTTGCTGCTCCTCGCCGTCTCTCTCGAGAGCGAGGACGGTGACTGCAAGGGCGCCAGCCACTTCTTCCCCTCTCATATCTGCTTCTGGAAGCTATAGTGGGCCTCGGGCCAGCCCGACATTTATAGTTAGGCATGGGCGGTCCAGCCGAAAAACAGCCCTAGTAAGCTGGTCTAGCCGGTGTGTGCCTACTAAGCCTCAGCCCCAAACTCCCCTGGGAAACCACACCAGCGAACTAGGACGCGCCAGATCTGCATGTGCCGAGCAGAATCCAACCGCCGTCGGGCAAGGCCAGGGCCGACGATGCTAGCCGCCAAATCCTCGTTGATGAAGAGGCAGCGAAGGGAGGAACTCGAAGAAGAAGACGTGCACCGTACCCTGCCGCCGCCCTCCTTGCTGCCGAGCAAGCGTCGTCGCCGACGAGCTCCGACGGCGGCGAGATGAAGTGGAGGCTTCTCGCGAGGAGCACCGGTGGCGCCGTCCGTGTCGCTCGGAGAGAGACGACACGGGGGCCTATTCCTGCTCCTTACTTGTTTATTGTTGATTTATTATGGTGATAGACAGTTCTAAATGTTTAATCTTATATATTTATTTGTCATGTTAGATGCTATCTAAAAATATTTATCGAGTGCTTAGAAAAATTAGTTTAACAGGTTCTTATCATCTTGTTTGTCCAAGAGCCTTTAAAATCATATATAGACGGCTACAGAAAGGAAGAGGTGGTTCGTGGGGAGGAAGGAGGAAGTTGCTGTTGCGGCAGGTTTAGGGAGAAGGCGAGGAGGGGTGCTGGGTGGTCTCTCTGGGTTTTATAGGGGTGCTCGGGGGTTCGGTTGGAGCTGAGGTGGCTTATGGACGGCGGCGATCTTTGAGGCATGAGCTCGAGGACACGTGGCCATCCGTGGCAAGGAAAGGCAGCTCGGAAGAAGCTTCGAGAAGAGGTTAGGACTCGGGTGCAGCGCCAATCGCGCGTGGGTGCCCTATGGTTCTGCGCGCGTCGGACGGAAAGCAGCAGCTAGTGCCGGACGGAAAGAAGGAAACAGCGAGCGGTCAAGTGGTAGGAGGAGACGGGTGCCGACGGAAGGGGAACGACGTCTGGTCTCCGAACCAGGAGCGTGTGATCTCTACTTGCCGCTGCCTCTGGCTAGCAGGCGGGCCCAGGGAAACGACGCTCGTCATTCCAACTCGTCCGTTCGCGGCGTCGTGGAAACGGAGCAGCAGCAGGGCATGCATGTGTGGCTCGTGGTCGTCGGGCAACCACTATACAGCGCCATGCTGCAGGGGCGACCACTACCCAAAATCTGGACATCACTGCGGCCTTATACATTACAATTCAAATGTTCTTATCCACATCTCGATCCTCAAAACCGAAAAAAAGAAATGTTCTTGGACTTGAACAACACATGCTTCTGTAGGACTTCCTACAGCGATCTGGTGAGTCGGTTCTTGGCTCAAGCAGTGATGTTGAGCATTTTCCGGTTCATGGATATACCTAATAAGTGTCGATCATGGAAGCCTTTATCGCTCAATCCGTTTGTTCGATTTGAACTCTAACCGGCGGTGATGGTTACGATGATGTCGGTTTTTCTAGTTTGCTCATTGGACAATTCCTATACAATGGTGTTTTTACCATCTGGTCCATCTCATTTTTCTAAATGTTACGATTACAATTCAAATGTTCTTATCACATCTCGATCACTAAGACATCCGGTCTCTACATTACACGGACTTTACACTAATGATCGAATGAGCTCGTTTTTTTTTATGAACATTTTCCTTATTATACCTAACGAGAAATGCCATCGTTTTTGATTTCTCTACGACATGATATCGGCTTCTAGTTTGCTCATTGGACAATTCCTATACAATGATGTTTTGCCATCTTATTATTTTCTCTAGCCATATTTGTCTTTCACTGTTGACATCCGTGTTCTCTACATTCGTAGCAAGAGAAATGGATGGCTACGTGTCGTCGAGCATGTTCCTAAACACATCATCATCGTTGCCATAGGTTTTGTTGACACGGGTTCTCGTCAACATCGTGGATGGCTCGCCATGCATGTCCACATCATCATCGTTTTTTGAACATTCACAACAACCTCGCCATGCATAGTCCATATCGTATAGTTTAGCATGAACCCCTGGTAATCAAGTGCGATCGTATAAACTCAATTTGACGAAAGTTTCTTATGATTCTTGCAATCTTTGCATGGGCAGAAGACAGGGTTCTCATTCCCAGCATGGGCTTTAGCATCAATGATAAACTAGCTGACGCCATGCATGTACCGCTTGTCCGTTCGGGACAGATGCATCCACTCTCGATCAATCTTTGCACAAAAAAATACTGAGACAGTAATTACAAAGAATTAATAAAAAATCGAGCTTCATGAACAACAATTGTAGCTCGAAAGTACCATTTTTGGAAAACATTATTGTACACTAATTATTAAAAAATTGAAATTGGTAGCCTCGACCCTGTAAAATGAAAATCGTAGTAAAAACAATTATTGCACAATATTGAAGAACAACTATTCTACTCTACTTCTAAGAACTAATTATAGCATCACATACTAACAATGATGATCTTGACCACCATGGAATAATTAGCTAGGAATTTAAATGTGTTCATAGACACCAACTTTTTGGATGATGGATTCACCACAATTTAAGTCTTGCACAAATGTCCAATTGGAAAAGTGCTCTCTAGAATGGAGAAAGAACTAGAATGAGAATCAAGCAATGTAGCCATCAAAACGAAGCTAATTAAGCAACAAAATCAAAGGAGTGGATGTTTGTTACTAAGCTTAAAGAAAAAGATCAAGCCGTTCTTCAAAATCCAAGCACTAGCTTCATGGTGAAGAGCAGCCGCAGCAATGGAGGGAAGGGTCCATACGCGCGTCTCTGTTCTCGGGATGGAAGAGAGGAGGAAGGAGAGGACGGCTGCAGCTTTTTGTGTTGTAGGCTTATCACCGTCAGTTCTTGGCTAGAACCGACAGTGATAGAGCACAATTACTGTCGGCTCTTGGCTTAAATCGGTAGTGATGAGTGGCCGCCAAAACATTGCCGGTTCAAGCCACAAACTGACAGTGATGTGGTCCTTCACTGCCAGTTTTAGCCTAGCCCCAATCATTTTTTTATTTTCAAGTTCATAACCAACAGTATGCCGACAGTGATGTGCAAATCTGACGTAGTGGACGGGGTGTGCCGTGTGCCCGCTTGCACGCTAGTGCTGCTGCTTGCTGGGCTTTGCTGGGCCAAGAGCAGGTGCTGCAGTGCGGTATCGATCTGGGATAGGCTACGGGCCATGAATTCTGTAGCTTGGACACAGGGAAACCAGGGATCTAGCCCACTAATCTTGTGATAGGGCTGGTATAGTGGTATGTGGTGGAGTGGAACTGGGGCCCAGTGTTCCCAAAGCTTGATTTTGACCAAGAGACTCCAACAAAAAATCCGAATAATCAAATAGCAGAAAAATCCGGCTAAAAAATGCTTGACGTAACACTGTGGACCCACACAAATTAAATTAAGAATTGCCTTTCGAAGGAGGTGAGAGAGGGAGTGTTAATGTTTCATTTTAGAGATAATTGAAAAACATATATGAAGTGGCCTTCTATGGAATTTGGTTGAGTTCGAATTCATTCCGATTTTATTTTATTTTTGGAGAAAACAATTTATTTTGAGA